TGGCACTTGCTAAGCAGACACTCTACAACTTGAGTAAGTCCACCAGCCCATTTGATTTAGGTTATTTTTGACATAGGGCTTTGCTTTATGTCTAGGCTGGCCTGGCCTGCAATCCTATTTATACTTTCCCATGTGGTTGATGACAGGTGTATGCCAGGTTGTGCCCAACCATTGGTTAAGATAGTGTCTTGGGAACATTTTGCCTGGGCCACACTGGAACCTTGATCCTCCTGATCTCTGTCTCCTGAATAACTGGAATTTTACGATTAACCCACTGTACCTGGCCTTTTTAACTTTTATTTTTTTGAAACAGGCTCTTACTATGTAGAGCAGGTTGAGTTGGAGCTTGCAATCCTCTTGCCTCAGTCTTCTGAGTGATGGGATAACAGGTGTGTACTACCATGCCTGTTTGTGTCTTACTTTCATTTGCCTTAATATCTTGTGATTTTCCTCTTTGGCCTGCTGGATTTTTAAGATGTGCTTAATTTCCACATATTTGTGGATTTTTCCAGTTTTCCATCTACTCTAATTTTCTAGGTATTAATATCTGTTATTTTTATTTATTTTAAACTAATATTGTATTAATTTATTATTATTGCTAGTATTTTATTCTAGTTCATCCCATTGTGATTAGAAAAGATGCTTAGTATGATTTTAATCTTTTTAGATCTGTTAAGACTTGTTTTGTGTCCAAAATGGAGAGTATTATTTGTAGACTTGAGAAAAATGTGTGGTTCTGCTGTTGTTGAGTGGATAGTTCTTTTTACGTCTCTTAAGACCTGTTGATTTATATTGTTATGTTCTTTTTGTCCTCATTGCTCTTCTATCCATCCGTTTAAAAGTGGGGTATTGAAGTCTCTTGTTACTGTAGAGTTGTCTGTTTCTGCCTTCAAGTATTTCAATATTGGTTGCATATATTTAGCATCTCTGATATTTGGCAAACATGTTTATATAAATGTCATCTTGTTCTATTGACCCTTTTATTATTTTGCTTTTCTTTTGTAAAAGTTTTTGATTTCAAGTTTGTTTTATCTGATTCCCTCCTCCCTCAGCCCTCTTTTGGTTACAATTTGCATGGAATTAATCTTTACAGTCTTTCACCTTCAAGCTATATTAAATTTTTATAGCCTTTCATATTCAACCTATGGTTTTAGCCTAAAGTTAGTCTTGTGTGTGTGTCTGTGTGTGTGTGTGTGTGTGTGTTTGTGTGTGTGTGTGTTGCTGTGTGTGTTTCTTGCAATGAGTATCAAAGTAGTACTGCTTTTGTAAAATGAGTTGAAAAACAGATGTGTCTCTTCTGTTTTCTGAGTCTGTAGCCTTCTGGATCCAGAATTTTTTGTGTGGTAATGATTTTTAACTGTGAGTTATATTTCTTCAATATGTTTACTTGGGTCATTTGTCTCTTCTTGAGTAAGCCTTAGCAGTTTCTTTTTTGGGAATTTATCTGTTTCACCTAAGTTATAAAATTTATTGGAAAAAGCCCATACTATGTCCTTATCCTTTAAATATTTTTTAGGACCTATGGTGACATCTTTTCTTTAATTTCTGATTTAGTTTTCTCTCTTGCTTACTCAGTCACTTAATATTTTTCAATTTTATTGATTGGTTTCAAAGAGTAAACATTTGGTCTTGTTGATTTTTTTTTTTCTTTTGTAATGTCCTCAGTTTTATTTGTTTCTCTTTTTATTGGTTTCAGTTTGCTTTGGACTTGGTTTGGTCATATTTTTTAGGTTTCTTACATGGAATGTTAGGCTTTCTTCTTTTATTATTTAACACTATAAATTTTCTTGTAGGTATTACTTTAGCTACATCTTAACAAGTTTTGACATGTTATATTTTCATTTGCATTTAATTAAAATTATTTTATAATTTCCTTATGATTTATTCTTTAACCATCGATATTTATGATTGTCTTGTTTAATTTCTAAATATCTGGGAGCATTTTAATTATCTTTGTTGGCTATTTTAATTTCTTAAATAATAATTTCTGGCATTTTATGCTCCAGAATATATTTTGACTTTGTGAATCTTTTGAATGCTCTTGAAAACAAAACTAGTTGGCTGTGTTTTTGGGTGGAATATGCTACATTTATCAATTGCATCAGGTTAACTGATTGCATTGTTTAGGTCTTCTATATGTTTGCAGAATTTCAGTGCACTTTTTTTGTTGTTGATTACCGAGAGAGGAATTTTGAGTCTAAAACTATAATTGTAGATTTCTTTCTTTTTTTTAACTTCCTGTTAAGTTCCCCACCTCGTCCCCACCCCTGGAATTGAACCTGGAGCCTCAGTGTAGGCTAAGCATGTGGTGTACCACTGAGCTACGTTCCCGGCTCTCTACGTTTTTGATTTGTCTACTTTTTCCAAACTCATTCCTTTTCATTATTCAATGCTTTCATTTACCTCTGGTAATAGTCCTTGTTCTGAAGCTTTCTTCTTCTGATATTAACATCACTATTTTAGTTTTATTTTGATTAGTTTTTGCGTGATACCTTTTTTTCCTATTCATTTACCTTTAACCCATCTGTAGCATATTTAAGATGAGTTTTTATAGGCAATGTATGGTTAGGTCTTACTAATTTAATTCAGTCTGCTAATATATATCTTTTATTTGGTATGTTTAGACCATTTGTATTTAATGTATTTATTAAACTACTTATCAGTTTTCTATTGTGTTCTTTCTCTTTTTCTGCATGCTTTTGAGTCTTCTCCCTAGGCTATATTACATTTGCTGATGATTCCTTCAGATGATATCATGTATTATATTTTTAGAATTTCCATTTGACTCTTATAATTTCTACCTGTCTGCCCAAATTCTGTGTGCTCATACATGTTGCTCGCTATTTTTTAGTTTTTGCTTATTTTTTTCTCCACTGGGCTATCTAACATCAATCACAACCTGTTAATTCTGACTTTTCTGAGTCCAGCTCTCTTGATTGCTTTCCTGCCTGAAAGTTGATTTTGTTTTTAATTTTTCATTGAATATTAGACATCTTGCATAGAAGAGTGGAAGCTAAAGTAAGTAGTATTTACACTCAGAGATAGACATTACTCACTCTTCTTAGAGAAAGATATATCTGTATGTTCTGTCTCTCCAGGGGCTGTTCTCCTTGAATATCAGATTAGATTACTTCAATGCCCTGTGACACTAAGATGGATTTCTTTAATGATGGATTCAAAGAAAGTTGTGATATGATAGTTTGTTTGGCCTTTGCTTATTGACTTAGTGTGATGGTGGCATTCTTTTCAGCTTTTACATCATAGGCATCAATGGTATCTCTTAAGATTTTTTCAAATTTATTTTGCATATGAATTTAAATTATTTTATTTCTGTATAATTTTGACTCATTTCCATTTTGAGCACATAGGCATTCATTTTTGCCTAAGTGTTATATTCCATCTATGAAGGAAATGTTCCCAATGCACTAAAAATTAATTGCATATTAATCTTAATTTTTCTTTGTAAGATTATTTGTTGGGGTACTTGGTGAGGATTCGTTGTAGAGAATATTTATATGGATATGAATTCCAGAAGTGTAGTCATCCACTCATAAAAAAAGTTGAGTATATTTAGATACTAAATTAATATTATCTTAAATTAATGCATTGATGTGTTGCATTTGTGTATTAAAGTATCATCTGCACAAACTTAGAAATATAAAGAAATGGATTTGTTCAAACCTTAGTAAAACTTCTTGGACCTTGTTGGGAGCCTTCTTTAGTGTCAGTGACCTTGCAAATTCCTAGGACTTTTTAGGCTGATATGATGAAGGCCTGTGAGGTGCTGATAGCCATCCTTTCCATGTTCTTGAGTTACACTTCTGTACCGTATCCTTACAGCTAAAGTAACTGTTGTATATAATGCATGTCTACCTGTGTATGTGCTTCCAAATATATAGTAGCACTATGTATTCCCATTAAACCATCTGGAACTTTCACCAGGTTTTTAAGGGGTCTCTGACTTCATCAAAAAGGTTAAGAACTTCTGCTGTAAATCCTATGGTATATATGATCATATAAAATAGCCCCCATTCTTAAGGACCTTGAAATTGTGTTGATCTCTATCTTGTATGTGAAAAACGAACAGAAGGGCAAGTATGGTGTGGTGGTGGTGAAATCCTCTGTTATCAAGCTTGGAATTTAATCCTGTTTCACCCCTTCCTAACCTTGTGAACTTGGGTAAGGCGCAGAATTTTATCTCTTAGTGTTTCAATAAGTTTTGAATTAGAAAATGTTTAACAGATGCTTATTTCTTACCTCTGATTGATGAAGAGAAAAATGTATGTGACTAGAAGTGATGAGTAAATTTCCTGTTTTTTTTCAATTTTAAAATTTTTGTTGTAAAATATACATAACAGAATTTTCAATTTAAAAATTTCAAGTGTACAAATTAAGTAGTATTTAGTATATGTACAGTGTTGTACAACATCACCACTGTCCATTTCCAGAACTTCTTCATTATCTGAAACAAACTGTTCTTATTAGAGAGTATAGACCCCAATTCACCTTTGTTTTATTTTTTGTCTCTGTGAATTTTCCCACTCTAAGTACCTCTTATTAAATGGAATCATATGATATTTGTCCTTCTGTGTTTGGCTCATTTCACTTAGTATAATTTTTTATTTCTCCATTGAGCCACTTGTTTTCGCTACTTCATTGAGTTACTGCTTAAAATCAAATGTAGTAGTTAAAACCCAACAGATGCTATGTAAGTTTAAGGTGGTATATATAAAAATGGGCAAATATTACATGATATCAGTGAATTCATTTATTGCCTATGCATGATTATATTTTCACTTAATTTATAATTTAAAATTTTTTCTTATGTTACATAGAAATGCTAGAGATATTCTGAAATCCCAAATTTATAGAATCGGCTTATAAGACAAAAATGTTTAACTGAACACTTGTAGAATATTTGCCAAAGTAATTTAAAATTCAGATACACTGTATTCTTTGTTTGACTTAAAGAACTTCATTGTATTTCTCTTTTTAGGATTCTAGTTCTCAGATGGATTTAAGCATTCAGGTAACTGATGACGATGTTAATGAAATAATTCAAATAGATGGAACTGGTGATACATCTTCCAATGAAGAAGTAGGAAGTATAAGAGATGTAGATGAGAATGAATTTCTAGGGATTATTGACACAGGAGATATAAAGGTGCTTGAAGAAGAAGCTGACAGTGTATCAAATGAAGATTCAAATGCAAACAGTAGTGATAATGACGACCCTCAAGTGGATATTGTGGAAGAGGTAGGATCACTTTTGAGCTGAGACTTTGCTTATTAAGTTATACCATTTGTGCTTTGATGTACTTGGGAACCAAGTTCAAGAACAGTTAAGATTAACCCTGTCTTTATTCTTTTAAAATTAGGCTTAAACTTTGTATCTTAAATGGCAATTTAAATCAGTAGTAAGTATTTAGGAAATGGCTTTTGATTTTGTTGCTCTTAACTAGAGAGAGCAGGAGGTTTAGGGGATGGGAGCAGAGGTTAAAGGAGGCAGTCTGTGTGGAAACATATACTTTTTGTTCTAATTGTAATAATGCAGCAGCATCTGGGTGGAATATAGTAGAGAATAAGCTTATAAGGAGGGTTAGCTGCCAGTCACAGTGGCCTTGCACATGTACCTATCATGCTAAGTTTTATCTCCTTTGACTTAGTGCCAGCATCCTAGGAGTCATTACTATTCTCATTTTATAGATGAGTAAACTGAGATATGGGGAGTTTTAGTAACTTGCCCCAGGTCAATTATGTAATTATCAAGTGGCCAATCTGGGATTCAAACTTGGGCTATTTGACTTTAAAGCACAATACTATTCTGCCTCTCCAAGTTCTTTTATTTCTATATGTATCTCGATCTTTAAAAAATTTGAAGCATCATGAAATTCCTTAATGAGATCATCTTTCATCTTTAGGATCCTTTAAATTCAGGAGATGATGTTAGTGAGCAGGATGTGCCAGACCTGTTTGACACGGATAATGTAATTGTCTGTCAGTATGATAAGGTACTGTGTTCACCTTTTGAACTTTGGGTTTGTTAAGTGCATTTATAGTAGGAAGGTATATAAAACTGTGGGAAATAGAATGGTGACTTAGCATTCACAGTTAAATGAATCACAAAAGAGCTAGTTAATTCTTTAAAGTTTTAAGGATATGTTTTGGGTCTAGCACTGTGCTGTGTGAGCTCAGAGATACCAAAAAAGTGATAGTTCTTGTATTACGGAGGTGGCAATCTTATTGAAACAAGGTATTTCTTCTAGGATGATGGATTGTCACACCATAAGATGGTAGGCAAATCAAAAACTAAAATATGTGACCAATAAGCCAAATGCTAAGACGAGTGTCATACAAATCAAGTTCTAAGATATATGACAGATAGGGAGTCCTAAAAGTGGCAACGATATATATACAAGAAATCATTTGCAGTTGGAGTGATGTCAGACTTTGAAAAGGGGCTTGAGTGGTTTATAGGGTAGAGGTAAGTATGGAGGGCTGGTATCCAGAGAATAGCCTGATAAAAGGCAAAGAAATGAATGGATGTAGTATGTGCGAGGGACAGTGAAAAGACAGCTCTGACTTTAATAAAGTGTTCTTTTCTTGAATATCCTAAGAAATGATGCTGGGTTGGGGGACAGAGTAGGGAGCAGATTGGAATATCCCAAATGCTAGTAGGAAAAATTTAAACTTGGTCTGAAGGACATTAGCCTTCTGAGAATGTTATTGAGAAAACTGTAATTGGTTTAAAAACTGGTCACCTTTAATGATTCAGAAAAGGCAAATGGTAAGAAAAACAGGGATAGCGTAAACATGAAGTAACCAGAGCCCAGATTAAATGGATAGAGTAAGAACACAGCAAAATCAGAGGCTAGGATAGAAGAATCAGTGGGACTTGGTGATGTGTTGAAGGTATCTCTGATTTCAACCCTAGTGATTGTTAGTAGCAATTTAACTTCAGCAACTAAGAAAATAATGCTTTCACTGTTTTTTAAAAAATGTTGTAGCTGTGATTATGTAGCAGTATGGGAAATTGTCCTTAATTCATGATTATATCTTTAAAAAACAGACTTGAGATATTAACATACTGCATAATTCCCCTATGAAGTGTATGGTTCAGTATGTTTTTAGTATGTTAATGGATTTGTGCATTTTCAGTCAATTTTAGAACCTTCTTTCATTTCAGAAATAAATCCCATACCTTCAGTTCTCACTCTAATATCTCTTTTTCCTGTACCTTCAACCCGGAAGCCTAAGGAACCACAGATCCACTTCCTGTTTCTGTGGATTTCTCTGTTCTGGCATTTCATATGAAAGACTGTATAATATGAGCTCTTTTGTGATACACATTTTATTTTCTTGTTTATCTGTCGATGGACCTTAGGTTTGTTTCCCACTGTAGGGGAGAAAAAGTAATATCTTTTCCTCATTCACCATTAAGTTCATAGCTGAAGATAGATTGACAAGAGAAAAGCATACACGTTTATATAAGTTTTACATTGGACAGAAATGTTTGGAAATGAAGACACAAAGAAATAGGGAAAACTGCATTCTTCTATAAAATTGTACAGAAGTATAATTGGAGGAAGAAGGGGTATGATTTAATGGCACTAAACTGAAGGGAATTTAGTAAGGCCTGTTTATTCAGATTCTTCTTGTGTACATGTGTCTTCAGAGTTAAAGACATTCCTTTCCTCTGGATATAGGGTAGACCGCTTTGGATTGAGGGTTTTATCATCTTCTTTAGAGGAAGAGCACACAATTCTTTTATGGTCTGCCTTATGAGAAAGGGGTAGGAGCTCCCTTTCCCCTTCAGCGAGACTTTCCTACTTCTGTTACTCTCTCAGAAGCCACAGTGCTGTATTTTAGGGCAGTATGTCCCTAGCCTTATTGCCATCTTTTGCATATGTGTAATGCTGCTATAGACAATAATGCATGAGTTTTTGTGTGGACATATGTTTTCATCTGTCTTGGTACATACCTAGGAGTTAAGTTCCTGGGTCATTTGGTAATAGTTTTTGGAGCAAATAGACTGTTTTAAAATCTGGTACAGTCAGTTTTATATTCTTAGTAGCAGCGTTTGAGTGTTTCCATTGCCTGACATCCTTACCAACACTTGTTATTTGAATTTTTGATCCCAGACATCCCAGTGGGTATGAAGTTGTATCTATCTCATTGTAGTTTTAATTTTTTTCTCTGATATCTAATGGATATTTATATCTTTGGTGTTTTTAAGTTAGTATTTGCATATACTTAATGGAAACAAAGGATAGTGTTTGAATTGCTGTGAAAGTAAATCCCTTTCTCATCATATGATATCAATTTCTCCCCCAAACCATTTTATATAGATAGAAAATGACAATTTAGATGGTGGGAAACATAAAGGTAAGAGAGTAGGTGGTAGAACAGTTATAGTTTAGTTTGAAGCTTACTTTAGTTTCTTATAAATAGTGTATTGCCTTCTACAAAGAAAGCATTATAAGGTACTTAATCATATATGTACTCCAGAAAGTCTCATAAAGAACGTTCTAGAATATTATGTATATAGTATCCACTACTGCATTGTGAGTGACAGCTTGCAATTAATAGTTTAGTGATTTATAATTTTCAAAGTGTTTTTTCATATATTGTGTTTTGCTTCTTAGAATAACCTTGTGGGTAGATAGAAATGATATTAGTTGTATGGTGTTAAGACAAATCTAGTTGTCTGAGGGTACTCTCTAATTGGTGACTATTTAAAGAACAATACTAAAAAATTAATGGAAACCAAGGCTTTGGGGAACCATTGAAATATTTTTAAAAGAGCGTGATGAAGTCATAAGATAGTAGTGAAGAGAATGTGTCTAAGGTTGAAGAGGAGTGGGGAATGCTGTTGTAGTGAATTTTTATAAGGGGAAACTTCCCAGTTCTTATTATTGGTTGATTTATTTAGAACAGTATTTAATGGAACCAAATCCAAATAAGTGGAGAGAACTCTCAGTCTTTTTAGAGCCTCACGACATGGCGTGTTTTGAGGGCAGTAACATTGGTTTCCTGGGGAGAGTGTTACAAATATACAATTTTGAGCCCTATTCTGAGTCCTAGACCTGAATGGGCATTTTAACAAGAACCCCCCTCCCCAGGTGACTGGCTTTAAACCTTGAGTTGAAGTTTTTTTAAAGTATATTTTATTTTGCTTTGATTAGCAGATGGAATTTACTATAAAATTTATAGGCTAACCCTTGGAGGAAAACTTTGAAAATATTAACATGTATAATAAAAAATGCTAAATGAAGGCACTGGTCTATATATTTGGGAAGAATGAGTTAATGGAAGGGAAATGCTATTTCAGAGGGCTAGAAAATGTCAAAGATTACTATAAAGGCTAAAGTAATACTTATAGGGAAATTAGTGGTGAAATGAAACCTTTCACTAGAGATTAGTGTTGTATGCTAAGAACAGGAAATTATAGTGGAGTATAAAACCATTTGAACAGTCTACATCTTTAACAGCTTAGAAAACTTGCTTACAAGTGGCTTTGTTCCTTAGATACAAGTTCAGTCATTAATTGCTAGGTATTTAGCCCTGTGTGTGTGTGTGTGTGTGTGTGTTTGTGTGTGTGTGTCTGTCTGTCTGTATGCCTGTTTCTTTTTCTCTCCACACACACACACAAATATTTAACCCATCAAAACACAACAAAAAAGGTATACAGTGAAGTCTGGTTTCTGCTCCTTCCCCCTTTGTGCTTCCTGCTAGTAACTGTCACTGTCTTGAGTGCAAATAGGTAACTAGTATATTTGTTTTTAAATGTATTTGTAGAGCTTTTTTATTCAAGTACAAGTACGAAAGGTAGCACAGACAACACTGTATTCTGCAGTTTGCCATTTCTCTATTAATACTATCTCTCTGATATTGTTGCACTAATATTTTAATAGCTGTATAATATTCTATTGTAGGATTGATCCATTCAGTGTCTTTCTTGATGTATAATGTAACATATGGCTTCAACTTTCTTTTCAGATGGCTACCTAATCTAATACTTATGAAAAGTATAGTTTGTTCTCATTGAATAAAAGCATATTCCTTTATCATCTACTAAATTTTGATGTATGTATAGAGCTATTTCTTGATTTATTTTCTGTTACGTTCTATTGATTTGTCTATCTATAGGCCTGCGCAACATTGATTTAGTTATTGAGATTTTAAATGTCTGGTAGTGTTAGTACTTTATCAATAATGTTCTTTTCCAGAGTTTTCCTGGGCATTGTTGTCTATTTTTATATATGAACTCAGAACTAACTTGTCTGGTTCAAAATAAAACCCTATCAAGTATTTTCATTGAGATCACATTAAATTCATAGAATTTGATATTTTCATGATCTTGGGGGAGGAATAGGTTGCAATTTTAGAAGAAATGTCCAGGGGAGGCCTTACTGGAAATGCAACAGGATAAAGATCAGAAGCAAGTAAGGGGATGAACTGTTGGATATAAGCATTCCAGACAGAGGGAACTGCAAATACAGAAGTCCTGAGGCAGAAAGGCTGTGTCTTCAGAGAGAGAAGGGTCTAGAGCAGTAAAGAGGGAGAGTGAGAGACCTTGAAGTTCATTGTAAGGGCTTTAGTTTTTGGATGGGAAGTCACTAGAAAGGTTTGAGTAGGGAAATGGCATCTAATTTATGGTTTTTAACAATACCACGCTGGCTGTCATGTTCATAGTAGACTAAAGGCAGGGTTAGGACAAGGGTGAAAATGCAGACACTAGTTATAAGGCCATTTTATTACCCAGGCAAGAGAAGACAGTGGCCTAGCAAGAGTGAAAGTAGTAGAGATGGTTGGAATATGAACATGCTTTGTAGGTAGAAATAACATTTACTGATGGATTTGAATTTGGGAATGAATAGGAGGCCTAAAGAATGTCTAAGATTTTTGAACCTGAACACTTAAAAGATTGAGGGGCCATTTCTCACTGAGATGCAGAAGACTGAGGTTTGGAAAAGAGGATATCCTAGTTTCGAACTTGCTTTAGATGTCTATTTGACACTCAGGAGGAGATGCTGAAGTAGTTAAATGGCAATTTGAAGTTAAGAGAAGTGTGAGTTGGAGATAAAATTTTATCTTCAACTTATAAATAGTGTTTAAAGTCATGAGACTAGGATCACCAAGAGTGAGAAAAAGCAGAAACAAGGGTTCTGGCATATTCTAAAATAGAGAGGTAAGAAAGATAAGGAGGAATCAGTAAGGGAAACTAAAAAGTGGCCAGAGAGTTAGGTAAAAAGTGATAGTGTTCAAAGAAGAGTATTAAATACTGCCACAGGTAAATATTACTAGCTATTTTATTTATCTGGCTTTTGTGATAAATGGGCTCCTCTTCTATACCTTCTGTCTGTTGCTTGTACACATGAAGGCTGTGAATTTCTATATATTAATTTTGTATCAAATTGAATTTTTACTTAGCATTTTTCATTGATTATCTTGGCTTTTTGACAGGCATTCATTGCATCTGTAAATTTATTTCATCTTTTCCAATTTTTCTCTCTGCTTTTTACTCTTGTCTAATTGAGTTGGCTAATTCCAATTGCACTTGACTATTTGTATTGGCTAGTACCTTTAGCATGTTTAAAAAGTTGGGTAGTGGCAGATATCCTTATCTGTGCCCTGACTTTTGTGGGAATGCTTTTAGGGTTTTCCTCACTGAGGAGATCAAATCATCACTGTTTGTTTTGTGTTGAGGGGTGTGTGTGTGTGTGTGTGTGTGTGTGTGTGTGTGTGTGTGTGTATGTGTGTGTGTAGGACCAAATACATTTGACTTTTGATTTAAAAAATCTAAAATACATGAGTTGTATCAGATGCCCTTCCTAAACATCACTGGAAAGTCATATGATTTGTCTCCTTAGGTCAAGTAATGCAGTTTTTATATTAATAAATACTGAATATCAAAGTATTGTTGAATTTCTAGAAAAAATGTAGTGACTTGATACAGCCACCAGAATGAGTTGATGCTGCTGCTGCTCTTCTCCTCCAATTTCTAGTTATATTTTCTCACCTGTGCCAAGTTCAGGATTCTGTCGTCACTGATGTATTCAACATGTAAAATGTGTGCAAGTGAAACTTTGGGAGTTAACCCAGAAAGATATTTACATTATTAGAACTTAAAAAAAAAAGATACAAATAAAGCTTTATCTTTTGTGTTTTCTTAGACTTCACAAAACACACCTGAATCTGCATTACAACTTCTCTTCCTGGATTGACTATTTGTAGTCAATTAAATATCTTTCATCTCAGATCATATATTTCTAAGACTTTTAAATAGTCACTTGCTGTTTGTCCAGAGGTAGCAATGATTTGATTTTTTTTTTTACCTCTTGAGGTAGTGGGATTTCTTATTTTTTATTTTGTCTATATGTAGGCCTATTTATTGAAGCTGAAGAACAGTCAGCAGAATCTAACAGATTATTAAGACATATTTTCTAACCTTGCTCAGTGCTTTATCGTGACTTTCTTCTTCATAATGAAGCTCAACTTTTTCATTTCTGGTAATATTAGCTACAACCTCTGTGTTTATTCCTTTGCTTATGTACAGGACCCTTTGCTGTTCTTGAGCAAACTAGGCATGCTCTTTCTTAGGACCTTTTACTTCTGTTCCCTTTGCTTGGCATCATCCCTCTGTCTTCAACTCTTTGCTCAAATATCACCTCAAAAGTCAGGCTTATAGCACTTACCACCTTTTAACATTCTATACAACCTATTTATTTACCAGGTTTTTTTTCCTCCCTCTCCATTAAAATGTAACTCTTCAAAGGCAGGATTTTTAAAAAACATATATAATATATGAAAACATATACAGTTGGGCTTCCATATCTGTAATTTCTTTGGACTGTGGATCAAAAATGCTAAAAAATTGTGTCTTTACTGAACATGTGCAGACTTTGTTCCTTGTCATAATTTTCTATATACAATATACAATATAGTATAACTACTACTTGAGAGCATTACATTGTATTAGGCAATATAGATAATCTAGAGATGTTTTAAAGTATACAGAAGCATGTGCATGGGTTATATGAAAATACATAGCCATTTTCTCTGAGGGCGTTCGGTATCCACAGATTTTGGTACCTGCAGGTGTTGTGGAATCAGTCTCCCTGTGATTCACTGACACAGAGAGATTATTCTATATGTATGGATAACTAGTGTAGTTACAATGCCTAAAATAATATCTGATTTATAGTAACTCAAATATTTGGTGAATAAGCTATCTTGAGAGGAGGTCTTTTAAAAGAACTCAAATTCAGTGTCAGAATAATCCCATTTGTTATTTCAAAGAAATATAAATGATCTTTAACTTATAAACTTAAGTAACTTAGATTATTTTTTCTCCCTCCAGATTCATCGAAGCAAGAACAGATGGAAATTCTATTTGAAAGATGGTATTATGTGCTTTGGAGGGAGAGACTATGTATTTGCAAAAGCCATTGGTGATGCAGAGTGGTAAACTTATAAGCTCAGTATGTCAGTTTTGTAGACATCAGTGGGAATAAAGTGCATATTGTGAAACTTACTTTAAATATAATCCTTCACTGAGCTGCACAGATTTTTAAGTTCACTATATGGAATTTAATAAAATTTAATTCTTATGCAGATACAAGTATGCAGTTTTATATTTTTTTCTGTTTTAGTAGGTTCTGTTGTCCCCTTTATTATCTATACCAATACAAAGCATATTTGCATTGGGTGTGATACAGCCTGTCAAAATGTCACATTTCTTTATTCTTAAAGGGAAATCTAAATGAGATTTCAGTGTTTTTTCCTGTAAAATCAGTATCATTTGGTATATTGGGGCCATCATTCCTCCAAACTCTCACCAAACCTTATTACAAAAGGTCCTGGGGTGTCTTTTCAGTAGTGGGCCATTTGAGAATCTGAGTTTTCAGCATGCATTGGTCACTGGAGATAGGCTTGCTGTGTAAGCTCCAGTGGTCCCTTGGAAACAGATGGCTATATGATTATTTAAATATGACAATCTCTGCTGAGGCCAGGATCCCTGGAGCTAAGGATTAGCCTCTGTAGGCTTATGTGGCCAAGCCTTGCTGCTTCATATGTTTGCAATTCTGAGATTAGGTTAGGGTCTTGTTCTGGTCTTAGAACTTAAGACTTCTGTCTTTTTCCTAGTTATGGTGGGTTTCCTCTCTCCCTCTTTGTAGACTTTTTACCCCTGAAAAAAGCTCTTTGTCTTTAACAGAGAATCCCATCATTTAGTTTAGGCTTTCTAAAGCAAAAGTCAAAAAGAGATGTTCTCTTGGGCTAGGGGCATGACTCAAGTGGCAAAGCACTTCCCTAGCATGCAAAAGGCCCGTGGATATTACCACAACAAACAAACAACCCTGAAGACTTTCTCGTCAGGACTCTTCTGCTCTTGTCAGGCAGTCTCATTTGTGATAAGGAGGCCTTGATAACTGTCTTCAAATCAGGGAGAGAAAATAAAACATAAAACACAAATAGTTCCCATTTCCTTGCAATAATAAAAGCAAAAGCAAACTAATATGAGCTATTTCATAATACTTTTCCCCAAAGGAACATTTTCCTTTCTTAATGTTTGCTTCTCTTAACAGAAGAGAAGCCTGGGGGACACAGAGTCTCTAGGAGTAGGAGCCCTAGCTTCAGCCCTGACTAGTGTCCTCCAGTACAGTAACTCTCACACAAAAAAACAATACAGGGATGAGTGGGTTGTGGTTTGCAAAAGCTCCCTAAGGTGTAGCTATCTGGATCTGGTTGGGCACAGGGCAAGTTCTCCATTTCTTTTTGAAAAACAGCCTCCTGTGGAAAGTTTAATTTATTTAAACATTTGTTCTGTCCTACCCATGGGGCTTAGCTATTGGTATATCTTTTTAAAATCTGGATAAGTCTGTTCTGGGACTTGGATGGGTGGGGTGTTGCTTTTAACCTAAAGTTGGTACCTGCATGGGGACTCAATTCTAAGGAGTGAGCTGAGACTCTAATCAGATTCTCCACCTATGTCTTCCTCATCTTTAGTGATGTCCTTTATCCTAACACCACTGCTGCTCCAGATCCTTCTCTGGCTCTTAAACTCCCAGGAGCTACAGGTTCTTTTCAAGGTTGTGGCTTACAGTGGCATGTCCATCTTCTGTAGCTGGAAACCAAAGACACTCATTCCTTGTATCTGACTCTGAACTGTACTCTCTCTCCAAGATTTAGGATTATACTTTCTAGTCGTCCTGTTCTTTCTCCCAGGCTCTCCAGGTCACTCTGTTTTTGCGCTAGGCAGTCCTTACTGTAAATCAAGGGCTGTACTTGTTGACAGGATATATTTACCTGGGGGAGACAATAACAGTTCTTTCTAAAATTCCTGTCATTTATTTCCACTGTGAACTTTAAAATCTCACTTAGTTTCAGTCATTTTTTTTAATGGCATAGTATAAATACTGTTACATCATCTTCTTTATATAGCGCATTTTATCATTAGGGAAAAAGTCACGGTAATCCCATTGTATCTCTTGTATTTTAAAAATGCATTTAAAAAAAGGAGGACTGAGCTGGCTCTGGTGGTTTGTGTTTGCAGTCCTTACTGCTTGGGGAGATCATGGCTCTAGGCCAGCTTGGGCAAAAATGTTTTCAAGATCCCATCTCAATGGAAAAAAACCTGGGCATGGTGGCATGTGGCTGTCATTCCCAAGTTACAGTGGGGTGGGAGGTGCTGAGATCTGGAGGATCATAGTTCCAGGCCAGCCCTGGCAAAAGTTTACAAGATTCTATCTCAATGGAAAAAAAATGGGTGTGGTGGTGTGTTCTGTCATTCCAGCAACTTTGGGAAACATAAAATAGGAGGATTGCAGTTCAGGCTGGCTTGGGCAAAAAGAGAGAGCCTATCTCCAAAATAACCAGAGCATAAAGGGCTGTAGGCATGGCTCAAGTGGTAGGGATTCATGCTTACTAGGCAGGTGCCCTGAGTTTAAACCCAAATACTTCCAAAAAGAAAAAGAGTGGACCTTTCTAGGGGTGGAAATCAGGGAAGGGGGAAAGAGAGGGTACTTAGGGGTGAAGAAGATCAAAGTACATTTCATATGCATATATGTAAAGATATACATATGAAAATATTTCATTATATATGTGTATTTTATATGTGTATATATACATATATGTATTTTATATGTATATACACATATATAATACATATATATGGATATATATATATAGTATAATGAAACCTGCCCAATACTGTTTGAAAAAAGGGGCAGGAGGAAGGCGGTTAAGGGAATATAATAGAGGGGGTGAAGTTGTTTAAAGTACACCATACATATCTATTGAATTAACACAATGAAATCACATTGTACTATTAATGTACACTAACAAGAAATAAAAAAAATTAAAGCAATGGAAATCAGTTTAAAAGTAGGCTAACCTGATGAGGTGCATGCCTGTAATCCTAGCACTTTGGGAGGCAGAGGCAAGAGGATTGCAAGTTTAAGGCCAGCCTGGGCTATATAGCAAGACCTTGTCACAGAAAATCAAGAACTGGATGTATGTAACTCAGTGTAGAGTGTTTGCCTAGCATGGACAAGGCCCTAGGTTTGGTCCCTAGCACTGTAAAACAAACAAAACAAACAAACAAACAAAACTAGGCTCACCACAAAACAAAGCCCAATAGTAATTATCCTTGCATGCTAATATAACTGATGATAGTTTTGATGAGGGCCACAGACAGAACTAAATGTTCAAGTTCTTTGAGATCTGGTGCCCATTTATTAGTATTAGATACTGCTACTAAAAAAATCCTAATTTCTGCCAAGTTGTCTAAACCAGTGATTTTCAAAACTTTTTGGGCAGGATCCACACTACAGAATACACTTTGACAACTCAGTTTATATTTGAACACACACACACACACGCACAACACAAGTGGAACAAAAGTTTCAGAAATTCATGCTTTGCTGGTAGCAATGATAGCATTCTACATGATCTATTTGATTCTCTTTTGTTCCATTAACAAGACTGATCAACTTGACCCACTAAGTTGTTTTACTAATTAGTTAAAAAAGTTTTAGCATGCTGGCATTAATATCTTTATTATTTAATTTAATATATTTTAGAGGCTCTAATTCACATCAAGTTCAGTGTTTTTCTTTTTGATGAACATATATGAATTATAGACATCAATAGGGTTCAGTGGGATATTTTAATACATGCATACAGCATGCGTGGATCAAATCCAGCCTCTCTTTATCTGTCCTCCCCTACCACCCTTTCCAGCTTCAAGTAATCACTATTTTATATTCAGTTCAGACTTTTAAAACCTGAACATATGAGATATTTTTAATCTGTGTGATAAAGATTACACGGGACAAACCTTCATTTTAAGAGAGAAAATTATTCATTAAACTTTGTAAGTTGAAGGAGTTTCCCTGAGACATGGCTTTGCTATTATATTATTTTTACTTTTAGAAACCTCTTCATCATGTCCAAGGTAAACTATTCCTTGTGCATTTCATAACAAAAATGCCCTAATGCAAGTTTCTAAGTTTTTAGAAAGACAATATCTTGGTCAATGTCTTACTCCCTTTTATAGGTGGAGAAAGTATCTCTTACAGAGGTTACAGTTTTCTGTGTTAAAGGAAATTTGTGAAAGTATCACAAATCCTAATTCTATTCGAGTACACTTTGAGCATTTCTCAAACTTTTCTCATGCTGACATCCTATAGTGCTTTCTTAACATACTTTCAGTCTCCCTGCAGGCCAAGATCTTGTTGAGTTTGCACAGAATTAGTCTCTTAGGGACTGACTGACCTTGTTGGTCCTCTTCCTTCCCTGTTTTATTCAATGTGCAGAACACCTCCGTCAGTGCCACAGTATTGTGTAAATAATCATCTGTACAGCTCAGACTTCACAGTGCCTTGGGACTCGAATTCTAACTAATGTCTCAGTGTTTGTCACTTAAGTTGTATAGGAAATTTACTAACTTTAGAATTAATAGGAATAGTTAATTTGGGCAGTAAGGAAGGGTTTTAGTAGGGGTTTTATTTTAACTCATGCTCCAGTGGGTTAATACTATGCTGTTTTTATGTAAATATACTCTAGGTCACTTGGGAACTTTGTGATTTATAACTAGAAACCTAGGCAGCCTATGGCAACAAGAATTCTTAGGGAAAAAAGATATCAATTAAAAATAGAGCCCTTCCTTATCCACAGATCCTCATCATATGTTTGAAACCACAGAGTACCAAACCCTACATGTGCTGTACTTTTTCTGTATGCCTTTTAGTGTTGTCACATAGCGCCAGAGTTAATCTGTTCTTCAGTTCTTGTGTCCTGGTGCCTCCTTTTGCATTACTACTCTTGCGCTTTGGGACCACCATTAAGTAAAACAAAGGTTACCTGAGCATAGCCCTGTGATACTGTGACAGTCAAACTGATAACCAAGATGGCTACTAAGTGACTAACGGGCACGTAGCCTGTACAGTGTGGGTGTGCTGGACTCAAGTCCTGGTGGAGTTGAGTGTGGTGCAGGGAGATTTCAGCATACTACTTAGAAAAGCACTCAGCTAAAAATGTATGGATCATTTATTGGTGGAATTTTCCACTTAATATTTTCAGACTGGCTGATTGTGGAGAACAGAACCATGGAAAAGGGGGACTCTGTGATGTTACATATTTTGGAGGAAAGATTATTTCTGATGATAAGCACATTTATTGAAACTTTCTGAGAAAGATTGATAATTTATGTCAGGCCTTAATAATACAGTTTTGAAAAAATTAAAACCAGTACCTATACAATAAATACAATAAATGAATAACAGCATACCAATATCCTTTAAAGTTATTTTGTAAGTTTAGATGATATAATCCAGATTGAGTAACCCTTTTTTTGATATTTTTGCAATTTACCAGTAATATCAAACATGATACAAATACAGATAGAAATATAAATTCATTTGGCATCTGATTTTTTTATGATTTAGGTCTAGGGGATTATGCAGAATGTAGTTTTTCATACATGTGCTATGAGACCATCTTATATGGGAAATACTTCTTAACAAGGATGGTTTTATATTTCAGTTATAAAAATGAACCAACTTAAAATTGTCAATCTAGGCTGGGGGTGGAGCATTTATTCTGCATGCATGCGGCCCTGCATTCGATCTCCTGCAACACACCTGTGTGCACACACAATCAACTGGAACAATTTGTTTCATATAGAAAAAGTGCAGGAATAAAAATGAGCAGATCTGAGAATGGATTCTATAGCTCCCTGAATATAAGACTGGGAGCTGAAACTTAAATTTATAGGCACTGAAGAATTGCTCAGGAATTTTGTGTAGGCTTATAATAAAATGAAATAGGATTTTAGGAAGATTAATCAGTGGTGGTGCATATGAGACTGTGAACATGGGAAAGACTGGTTGTGAATAAGAATGAGAGATATGGTAGTAGTCCAGGAGTAGGGAGAAAATGTCTTGAGATGTGGATGTGGTAGTAGGAATACAAAATAAAGAATTGATTTGGAAGATGATTCAAACAGATCTTACTGACTGAAGGATATGGAGTGAGGATGAGGGAGACAGTAACCTGTGATTCCATATGTTAAAACTTATAATGTGCAAAATAAAGATCATTATTTGTGCAAAAAGTCATGAAATTTCAGAGTATGGTAAGTACTTTAAGTTCAAACTGTTTAAGAGTATATAAGTTAAATAAAGTTTCTTCACAAGAATAGATTTTATTTTTTCCCTTATTTTACTTTCTACCTTTTTTCTTATTTGTTTTGGTTCTGGGATTTATGTATGAATCAAAAAGTATGTTATATAGTTACATAGTAATGTGGAAAGTTAGTATTCCATCAAATTCCTGAGACAAATTCTAGAACACTACCTTATAAAAGAGGACTGCATCTGAACAAAGTAACTGACTTTGAGTAGAAAAGCTAGGAATGTGAAAAACGCATAACAGAAAAGAGAGATTTTGTAAAGTTTATAGTCTTTTTCTTGAATCACTTTACACAGTGGTATAAGGATTGAAAACAAATGAAATGTGTAGATTCAAGCTTTGCCAAGATATCAATCAATAGGATACTGGAAACTTTTATATTCTGTACTGGAATACTAGTCAGCAATGAAAAGGAATGAATAGCAAAAGCATTTTGTTGAGTCGAAGAAGTCCTACAGCCCACCATTTATATGAAGTCCTAGAACAGGCAAAACTACTCGATGGGGAAAAAATCAGAACCTTTGTTAACTCTGGAAGAGGGATGAGGAACTGACTAGGAAGGTGTAGGAGGGAACTTTCTGATGATGATAGTGTTCTGTCTTTATAGAGGTTTGGATCACATGGGTGCTTGCATTTCTCAAAACTCATTAAGTGGTACATTGAAGATTCACCCATTTCACCATGTGTAAATTTTATATAAAAATATAAATACTGAATCTTTGTGAATGAGTGGTGAAGTTTCAGAGTTGGCAAATACTGATATCTGCAAATTACTTTGAAATTTGTCAAAAAGTCAGATACATTGATGGATGATTATATAAATGTATAGGTAATTCTATAGAAATGTATTAAAGGCAAATATGATAAAATATTGCTTACTGTAAGTGATGGTATATGGGTGTTCACTACAAAATTCTTTCAACTTTTCTATACATTTGAAAATGTTCATAATAAAATCTTCGGGAAAATTTAAGGAACTCTGAATGCATATTACACCCTTGAATAACTATGACTTCCCAATATGGGAAGGAAACACAGTGAATAAGAGGCTGAGATCCTAAAGCAGAGCTTTGAATTTAATCCTATTAGTTGAATCTTTTATTAGTTTTGAGAACTTTGGCAAATTATAATACATTTTCATCTCATAAGATTAGTAATACCTATATTATAAAGTTTTATGAAAATTCAGTGGGTGAAATTATATAATATAGTTATCAAAAGTTTGTCATATAATGAGCTTTCAATAAAAATTACTTTAAAAAAGTCAAAGGAGCAAACAAAAGCACTGCAATTAGAACCATCATTGGGCAGGCCAGTGGTTCATGCTTGTAATCCTACCTACTCAAAAGGGCAGAGATCAGGAGGATCATGGTTCAAAGCTAGTCCAGGCAAATAGCTCATAAGACCCTATCTTGAAACTACACAGTACCAAAAAGGGCTGGCAGAATGACTCAAGTGGTATAGCACCTGCCTAGCAAGCATGAGGTCCGGAGTTCAAACCTCAGTACTGTCAAAAACAACAACAAAAGAAGGATTGTCTTGCAAGAGCCAATTCTAATGAGTAAAAATACTTTCTAGCAAATATTGGATTTATTTTTTAATAACCTGAAAAGGATAGAAATGATAAAATCTGATCATTTAAAAATATTTAAACATTTTCTTCCAATTGAAAATACAGCACCCTAGAAAAATTTTTTCTTATGGATTTCATAACTTCAAAGGAATTTGGCACATTTATTGTGTATCATTGCCAAGATCCAGGGTAGGAAAAGGGGAAACAAAATGGACAGAGACAATGTTCCTACCCCTGAGAAGTTTATAATGTACAATTTAATGTTTCATTGACTGAAATGTTCCTTTAGAATTTTACCTTGGATTAAACTTTAAGTAGAATGTAGGTCATGTGTGTACATGTAAATTACATGGGAGGTGGAAGTCTCTAGACCAGTGCTATCCAGTAGTGCTCTCTGCAGTGATAAGAATGTTTGTATCTGTGCTGTCCAATATGATAATTACTAATTAGATGTATAAAGCACCTGAAATGTGGCTAGTGCAACTAAGAAACTACAAGCTACATTTTTTTTCGTTTTATTTAGTTTGGCCATACATGACTAGTAGCTACCAGCTCTTGAGTGGATTTCTCATACCATCTGAGGAAAAAGACCACTTTAAATTTCCAAACTCATGAACTAATATTTTTGTAGAATCCAATAAAAATTATAAAAAAGAAATGAGAGAGTTCAAAGATATGAAAATACCACCTCAGTTTTTCTTAATATTAGATTCAACAAACAAAAATACTCTCAAAATGGTTACATAAAAATTTTTTTGGCATTACTGGGGCTTGAACTCAGGGTCTTGTGCTTGCTAGGCAGGTGCTCTACCACTTGAGTCACTCTCCCTGTCCCTCTTGTTTTAGTTTCTTCTTCATGTTTTTGCCTGGGGCTGACCTTGGACAACGATCCTCCTATAACTGCCTCCTACACAGCTGGGATTACCAGCATGCACCACCATGCCTGGCTCTTGTTCCAAAAATTTTTAAATGCTCTCTTACAAATTTTATGTCATCATGTACCAATGACAGACTAACAATGGTCATGGAACACACTTTGAGCTAGGTAAAAGTATCTTCCCCAGTGAGCCTAAAAATAATTTCATAAAACCAAGTCTTTAAAGTTACTGGTTCAGGTAATTTTTTTTTTTACAGATTTAAGTATAATTCAATAATACAGTTACTGATACAATAGCTAACATTCTTGGCAGCAAGCCTTGTCTAGGACAGCTGAATATTGACAATGCAATGTGGACAGTTTCAAGCTGGATGGAGAAGGCTTATTTGATCCTGTGAAGCCATTTTTGCAGTTGGAGGTATAAGCAGAAAATTCCCTTCTTTTATAAAGTTCAGCCCGATGTTTACAACAGCCAAATTTGCTCAGCAACAGGAAGAAATCTCTTTGGAATGCCTTTGTGAAAATTGCATACAGAAATGGATTGGCACAAGAGTTGACAGGATAAAAAAGAACCAGTAAAACTTTGGAGTTGGTTACTGTGATAAGGGGCACTTTGAAGGCAGCTGAGATAGCAAAAAAAGAGATTGGGGCCATGCAGGTAAAGTCAGTGAAGATGAGGATGGCCATTTTCTTAGCAATCTTTGTGTCTTTGTTGGTAGCCATCAGCTCTGGATTTTGAACTGCAAAATAAATTTTGCTGTAGCAAGCACAAATGATGATGAAGGCTACCACATTGAGTATCAGGATGGTTAATATGTAGACTTGTGAGAGAGTGGTTTCCACATCCATGGGGAGGCAAATGCTGACCTTCATGTAACTGCTGACACCCACAAGAGGCAACATAGCAATCAGAGTAGAAAAGAGCCATCCTCCCAGCATAATTGGAATGGCATGTCTCAGTCGAAGCTTTTGATCCAGCTGAATAGCATAGGTGATGGTGTGCCATCTTTCTAGAGTGATGACTGTAAGGGTGTAGACAGAAAGTTCACTTGCGAATACAGTGAAAAAGCCAGCAGCACTACAACCACTCCCTGTCTGCCAGTCTATGGCATGGTTGTAATATTGGCCTTTTGTTTGGGAATCAACTGAGGCAATGAGTAGCAGATAGAGCCCCATGCAGAAGTCTGCAAAGGAGAGATTGCACATAAGAAAACGGGGCACTGTCAGTTTATAACGACTTGTCAGGAGAACCAAGAGGACAGTCATGTTTCCCAAGATGGCTAGGATATTAATCAGCCAAATCAGAACCCTAAGGAAGTCATAGCCCATAATATCTTCACAGGGATTGAAAGCATCAGGTTCAGGAGCACATCGGAGTGTCTTGGGTGAGCAGAAACCGTAATCATAGTCCCAGCCACTTACTTCACTCTCAGCAAAGATGGCAGAATAACTGTAAGAAGAATATTGGCTTCATGTAAACTTAAGAGATTTTCTATGATTCTGAGTATTAAAAGACTGCAAGAATCATCCTTAGTGTGTTTTTAAAGCCTAAGAAAGAAAACAAAGCCATGACAACTTCAGTCTTATATTTATTTGTCAAATTGTCTGATTTGATGGAGTTCCTTAAGGGAATGAAAAGCTATTTAGACCATAAAATACATATCTATTTAACACATTGATGCAAAGACTTAATGAAACTGCTTACAGAGGATGATTTTCTTTGGAAAACAGATTTAGAGACATAATATATACTTGCTAAATCTAAAAGAATCCTTTCTTGGCATTTTCTTAGCTATTTATCTTATTTAGTTGCCAACCAAATTGCTACAAAGCTGTTCGTAGCAGCACATAAATGAGATTGGAAGGTTTGCAGAATTAAGAGTCATCAGCTTCTGGAGGACTTGTTTGCACTTAAGTCCTCGGCTAATGCAGTAGTTCAAATGGCAAATGGAAACCAAGGATAGATTACTAGAAACCTAGGAGAAGAGGATGAGTAGTCATGGTCAACAGGAAGAAGTAAAAACAACACTCCTTAGGGGTAAGCGTTAAGGATTATTCCTGGGGAAGGAACAGTGCTCCTTCTGTCACTCCTTTCTAATACCCTGCTATTGCCTGAGTTCACATTTGCACCCTGTCTTATGGGGGCAATTACCTTAGTTTTCCTCTTGACCTCCTTTCTCCAGTTACAGCCCTCTTCCCCAGTCTAGCCTTTATGTTCCTCCTGGAGTGTCCTTTCTAAACCCAGATCTATTAATTTTACTTATCCAACTTAAACCTTCCCCACTTCCTTGTTGACTATGGAATAAGATACATACTACTTTTGATGAACTCCGAAGCCCTCCTTGGTCTGGATTCTGTCTGCTTCTGGAATTTTCTTTCTCTCCTTATATCTTTGGTGATTTTTCCCTCATTCTGAAAGATGAAGCCTTTTTTGATTTTACTCCTCGGGGAATTTATTATCCTTTCTCCTAGAGATGCACTTAGTACTATTGTACTTACCAAAATGCATTACAATTAAGTGATAATGCATGTCTCTTTTGTTTAATAGTCTCTTAGATTCTTGAAGGCAAGGTACTAGGTCTTATTTATTTCTGAAATCACAGTGCCTAACACAGTTTTGGCTCAGAGTGTCCATTCAGTAAATATTTGTGGAGTAAATAGATCTAAACCAGAGCAGTCGTGGTCTAGAATGAATTGACAATGAAAATATATCACATGATGCATACAGGCTCAACACAGTTTTTCTTTTTCACACTCTGCTAATACAGTATTGGGAGCTGGAGAAATGGGCATAGTTTTCTGTTAAGGCCATTGCAAATATATATTTCACCTTAGGGCTTCTCACATTAAAATGATTTTCCCCTACTCTCAAAACTAAACTTCTCAGGACCTGCATTGGAAAGTGTGTACCTAAGTGGATGAAATGATATGTTTGAGGAATAGACTACTGAAAGGAAAACACAGATTTTTTAAAAAGCAACAGACCCACCCCTTCAAAAAGATGTTAAAATAGTGTAGAGACCAATTTGGATTTGGAGATGAGCTGCTGGTAACATACAGAGGGCTGCATAGGAGCCTCATCTTTTTCATTATTAAATATCTTTAGAAGCAGCACATCTGTTTGTCTTCATATCATGGACATCAATATAATTACATGTTTTTAGTTTTTAAAGAGAGAAGATGGTTATAAAGAACTATTAAAGAAAATAGATCATTCTTAGCGTTAAGTGCTTACAGGACATCTAATTGAACCCCTCATTTCATTAGTATGGAAACCAAGATGAGAGAGAGCAAGTGATTTGCCCAAGGTTAAGGGTGAACTACGGCAGCACGAGGTCTCTGCATCCACAGTCCAGAGACTTTTCCTCCTCTTTATTTTCTTTCAGTCAGTGTTTTTCACAGTGTGGTCCTTGGATTATCTCTATCAGAACAATCAGGATGCTTGTTAAAATGCTTCACCTCTAGTTCTGAATCAAAATCTCTAGGGACAGATTTCAAGAACCTGCATTTTAAACAGTTTTCTGGATGATTCATTCAAAATTATAACCAAAAATCAGGTTAAAGTGTTCCAACTATTGCTGCCTTGATTTATTTTACTCTTTTCTCCTCATCAACATGACTTCATCTACTTGAAGCACTAACTTAAAACTTCTAAAATGTCTGCCTTGATTCCCAAATAAATTTAAATACGAGGCCAAATGTTTTCCCTCCCTCCTTCTTCCTTGGCTCTTTGGCCCTTTCTTCTTTTGCCCTACTGGGCATGTGAGTGTAAATTTTTCTCCTTGGTGATTTGTCTTCAGACCAAATACCCACCTGCTGCTGCTTACATTTGTGTCCTGGGATGGCTCCTGAGGGCAGCATCAAGCCTAATGACACAGCCCAGCATGGTGCTGTCCTTAGTACAAGGCTATGGCAGTGTGGACGGACTCACAGGAGCTCAGGAATGGTGAGAGGAAGTAGGAGCACTAGCAAGAATGCTCCAGTGACAATTAAGAAAGAAAGAGAAACTACAGGAATTTTAGGAGGACAATGGGGACAACCACAGCAGTGAGAACACCACATTATCTTGGGGAAAACAGGTAAGGCTTAGTGGCTGGCTTTAGAATTTCTAAACTCCAGGAACTCAGATTGGCTATCTGGTGGGAAATGGGAGGTGGTGGATTCAACTTAAAAATGTTTTCACAGGGAGCATATAACTTAGATTATTTGTTAATTTTAGGTAGTTTGGGTGATGCTAGACATTAGGGGACTCAAAGTTGTATGCTCACTTGAGAAGGATTGGGGTGGGGCTGATGAAGACTATTGAGGGTGGGTTAAACTTTTCTCTTCCCCCTCAAAACACTCCTTCATGCCACCATTGACTGTACCCAGAAGTGGCTTTCTTTTGATAAGTATAAAACCATATGGTTGCAAGAGCTATGTGGAAGGTGACTGATAGAAAGAAGGAAGAGTAAGGAGGGTGAGGAAAAGGAACACTGGAGGGTAGACAGTGGCAGACCCAAAGGAAAGAAATGGAAAGGAAGGAGGCAGAATAATAACTACTATCATAGGTGACATCACACACTAATAACTCCCTCACTATCATGGTTCTGAAAGCCAAATGAGACATCTGCTATTCCTTGTAGATGAGGAAAGAAGCCTCAAAGAGAATAAATATTGCCTGGAATTATTATCCCAACCAGGGGTAGGTAGTAAACCCTCTTTTGCATGAACATTACTGCCAAGGATTCATATCCAACTCTGAGGAACCTAGAGTCCATGGTTCTTCCTCCATACCTTCCTGCTACTTTTGTATAACTTGGAGATTAATGGGGGGTGTGGTTAAGAGAAAAATAAAAGAGATTGGCAAGGTATCTGAGAGGGGCAATCTGGTTTTATAGTCTTAAGGACACCTGGGAGGAATAATAAAATTTCTAAATCTCAGTAAATTTGCTTAGGGACACTGGAATTATCTTTTGAGGCATGCTCTTTTACAATTGCAGGTAAGTAAGATGCCAAGGCAACCAGCATTAAAAGCAGGAAAAATGTTAAGAGTTAGTCAAATGGAAATGTAGGTCCTACCATACAGTGTGTGGTCGTGATGGCATTAAGGTTAATTTTAACTCCAGGAGCACAGAGGTCAAAATCTCTTTGAAGGGAAGTGGCTACTTCTGGAAGCTATGTCCGCCATCAGTGAATCTTTGTGAAATGCTGACCACGTGACTAGTAATAGTTCCTACAAATGGCAACAATTCCTACAAATTCCTATCCATGGCATCCAAATGCCTGCAAATAAAACTAATTTTTTTAAACTTAATGTAATTATAGAGTGAATATTTAGGTATTTTAAGACATTTTTGCTTTGTTTGTTTTTTAACAGTTGAGATAGCTGTATAACCAGCTGCCACTTGCAAAGAAAGAAATTCCCATTTTAGCCCATCAAAAATACCTTGCAAGCATTCCTCTAACCAAGACTTTGATCAAAAGAAAATCGTTGGCACTGATAATAATAAGGTATACACAGAACAAGATAGAACTTCCTGAGTTTCATTGCATGCAAATACTTACAGTGTTTCATTATTTGGTTTTCTTACTGTGCTTTCACATTGTTTGGAAAAGTATTCAAAAATGGAAAATGAAAAATTCTGTCTGAAAGAGAAAATGTAAAAAAAAAAAGCAGTTGAGCTTTTGGTCTTTAAACCTGATCATGTCTATTTATGCTTTGTTCATCCAAATTCTTTACCTATTACACCAGCGGTGTGTTCTGCACCATTGTCCTAACTGAAATGCTTCCTGAGGAGAGAGTAAAGCCTTCAGAATTGTCATTAGAGTGCCTCCAGCTTAGATAAAATGCTTCTGAACACTAAATGTTTTGTGTGGGCTTTGAAGAGGAAAAAATGTAAATCTGTCCTATTGAATCATGGAATTTTCAGTGCTTATTAAAAGTTACCTTTATAGTATATTCAAGTTTGCTCCTTACCAACTCTCCTCTCCTTATTGGCCTTCATTAAAATCCATTTGGTGTTCATGGCTTTGAATTGTATAACTGGGTATTTTTTGTGAGTTTCCTACTCCTCCATGTTTTCCTCCAAGAAGTTTGGCTTATGGAAAGGGGAAAAATGTAAAAAATGAAAGAAGAGCAAAACTTACCTATGGGAATATTTATATATGGATGAAACCTAAGGTAGGTACAAAAATACATAAGAAATTAGGGGAAAGGAGAGCTGTGATGAGAGCTCAGTCTCCTCTGAGGAGGAGAGGTGAGGCAGTTCAAACTGGAAATTTCTCTGTCTGTGCTTCTCCAATATCAATGAGACACTTTGTTATAGGAATTAATTTGTACAAAAGCAGGAAGGTAGGGAGTATGTCAAAATGATTTGACTTACCAGGCTTTCAAAAACTGATCAGTTTGTTACTTTGTTAGAAGTGTAAATCCTCAAACTTGGGTCAAATTGTGCGTGAGTGAGGGATCTGGCTCTGTATCTTACAGAGATATTGTGTGTAGACAACTGCACAGTAAACAGAAAATATTGGCATTCTTGGCCTTCATATGATAATTCCAGGTGACATCTACTCTGTCTTTTTTGAAACTTGAAACATGGATACCAAGGAAGTCTTTGGGGTCATCTGCCCAGGTGGCTGTGTGTACTACCAGGCAGAAGGCAGCTCAGAGTTTGTACAAGCATCCTACAGGCCCACTTTCAAGCTCCCCATCCTTACTGGCCTCCAAGACTTTGGGCTTAGGGTCCCAGAAGGACCAGGGAGTCAGCAAAAGCTTTAATTCCAATTAAGACAACCTCCACATACCAGCATTCCCATCTTTCTTCACGTACTGGCTTATAATTGCAGAATCCCCCCACCCCTTTTTGTTTGTACCCAGGGGTCATCTCTTTCCTCTATTGGAATAAAAAAGTCTTGAAGTAAAGGTTTACATGCCAGGAATTTCAGAAACAATAAGCCCTTTGCCACAGAAATGCAGATGTTCAGAACCAGACTCTATATGGTTCTTCTCATTGGTCTCTCAGCAGCTCTGCTCACCTACAGCCCACCTTGATCCTATTGCCTTAGTGAGATTTCATAAAATCAAATTTGAGTAATCTTGCTTTAAATCCTCCATTGCTCCCCATCCTCTAAACAACCTGGACTGGCACTCAGAGCCCTTCTGCCCCACCTCTCCCTGGTTCCTCTCCTGATTCACTTCCCTCCATGTTCCCATGAGTCTTCTTGCTCTAGTTTTTTTTGAATGACATTTATCACATGACTCTTGCCTCTGGGCCATTCTGTCTTCTTGGCCTGCTTTTCCCCAGACCTGCTCTCCAAGGCAGCCTTCCATAAGCCCCGCTGCCAATTAGACACTCATCTATGACTCCTGAGCACTCTGCTCTGCTATAGCCTCTGCTGATATAGGTATTGGCTCTCATGTGCCCTGTACCCACAATCTGTGAGGGTTGGGATGAGTTCTTATTCATCTTTTCATTTTCAGACCTGGCACCATGTTTCAAACATAGCTAGTGCTTAATTAATGGCCTTTGAAGCTCAGTTAATGGTGCATGACTTTACACACAGCAATGTTATGTCTTTTCAGCTGCCCTGTTATTAAAATTAGGTAGAACCAAGTCTACCTACAGAAGGCATAAATAATACAGGTTGGTTGATTAGTTATAAATAGGTCGATTCCAGACAAAGACAGCAGTAGCTTACTGTCACTCTCTCAGCACCTCTTCTAATTAATTGAGTGAGAGTATCTCTGCAGGCTGCAGTAATAACTCTTCAGGTTTTTCCTGTTGTAGGTTGTGACCAATTGTCGGGTTACCAAAACAACAGAGTGCATCAAGACCAGCAGTGAAAACAAACAAACATGATGCAGAATAGGGTAAAACAAAGTATCAGAATATATCACACAGTTTAAAAATTAACTTATTGCTTTGTTTTCTCTCAGTTATGTTTTGTGAATACTGGAGTGCAATGCAAGAAAAAATATTTCTTACTATGCATTTCAGTCAAAAAAGTCTGGAAAACAATACTGTAGGTAAGGACTGAAATCCTGCCATCCTGCCACCCATTCTGGAGTGTAGAAACAAAGTAGCCAGGAGCTCCTGCCCTTTCTGTTTACACCTTAAACAAATCCTTAGGGAGCTAGGATTCTGTTTTCAAATGGCAGATGGTTTTCTTTCTCTTTTTTGGTGAGACTGAGGTTTGAACTTAGGGCTTCATACTTGTAAAGCAGGTGCTCTACTGCTTGAGCCACACCTCCAGTCCATTTTACTCTGGTTATTTTGGAGATGGGGGTCTCTTGAACTATTTGCCCGGGTTGGCCTCAAACCAGGATCCTCCTGATCTCAGCCTCCCAAGTAGCTGATTAACAGGCATGAGCCACCAGTGCCTGACTGGCAGATGTTTTTCTATTGGGAGAGAAATAACTTAGGAAAAAAACCCCTTCTATAGTGTTTTGTGTTTATTTTTAATTAAAAATTCAGACATTAGGTAAAAATTACCCTCCTCAACCTACTTCCCCCACTCCTTTAAAAATACTGCTCTCTGCTAAGGATCCACCTTTGAGATGACAGATTTCTATCCATTTTGCAATTGCCAAAATAGGCTATAACTCAATTAGTCCAGAATCGCCTACCTAGGTCTTTAGCTTCAGGGCAAATCCACAAATTGGCAGCAGTTTTCAGAGGAAATGGGTCAGTTCATTTTCTTCTTGTCTGTCTGAAAGCGACCCCAATGGCTATGGAGTTGGCCAGGAAGCAGAGAATAAACAGGCAGGGAGCTGTGGACCAGGTGACTATTTTCAGAGCAGAGTTTTTGCCACAGCTAAGTTGGGTTTACCTTTTGGTTTTTACTTACTCTTTCTTTGGCACATTCCTAAAAGCACAGCAGTGGCTAGGGTAAGTCAATGTGGCATCCAGGAGATTGGTAAATTTTTCTCTTGATGGCAATTTTTTTAGCGAATAGGATGACGTAGCAATTAGTGTCTGAATGGACTCCAGCCCATAGCTCGGCAGTGCCTGCAATTTGGTGGAAGAAATATCCCTGAACCGTAAAGGGGAGAAAGGCTTTTTATTTATTTATTTTACACAGTTGTTTTTCAGAGAATATAACCTCCCGTCAATAGTCCTATCATTCTAGGTTCTGAGATATCTTTTTCTCCATTTTGCTTTTTCTCCAATTCTCCATTTCAGCTACTCTCATTAAGATTTGAATTCAAAAGAGCTGTTCTGTGGGGCTTTTTTCCTCATTTGCACCCCATTATTCTTTTCAAGGTTGTTCCTGCCACACATTCATTAGCAATTCTCTCTCCCCTCTTCTGACTAGACTCCTTTCTTGCACCTTCTTTCTCCATCTCTCTCTTTCCACTTAACAGAGTCGAAATAACTACTTGCTGTAGGAGACAGTGGCACACGCCGTGACATCAGCTTTTGTGCTTCTACCCCAGGGGAAATAGTCAGGACTTCAGATACGTGGTCTTTGATTGATCAAACCCCGCAGGGAAGGTTTTCATGAAGTGCAGGCTGGTTACCGTATTAAGAACCACAGTGTGGCATTGCCCATAATCTACCTGGGAAGCAAAGTGCACGTTCTCTAATGGCAAGTCAGACCCATCTGCCCAAAGTAAGCAAGCACTCCACCAAGCCAGCACAGCCGTACAGAAGGCTCAGGACTTACAAACAAGGTCCTCAATGTCTGGGTCTTATTAGACTTGAGGCAAAGTCTAAGAAAACTCCAAACGCGTAAAATGTCAGGAGGAAGAGTCAGTGTGAGTTTTAAAATTCTCCTTATCTTCTAGTTGGTTGTTGCAGCTCCCCTTCCAGAATGTGCCCCGAAACACAGCTACCCTTGGTCTTCCCGCTCCGTGCCCCCTAATCTGAACTCAGTGCACAGCATGTGGGAGGGGATCAGTGGATCAGTGGGTGATTGGATGGATGGAAAATGAACTTGACCTCTTGGGGTCTTGGAGGAACAATTGAGGCAGGGGAATTTGCCCGAGAGGCTTCAGACATCCCCACCATTCATGTCCTTGATTTAGATGACCAGCTTACTCATTCTGCTTTGAAGAGCTACTGTCTCTGATTTGCTAGGGATTGAGTACAGGAGTCTTTGAAGATGTGGTGGGCTTTTCTTTTTCTTTCTTTTTTTTTTTTTTTTTTGATTGAGTACATTTAAAATTAGAATCTTAGAAGTGGCAAGTCCTTGTTACAAAGGAATGCCTTTCTGAGAGTGGATTTTCAGTCTCATTGACATACCAGGGAAAGAAATATTTTGGGGGTAGGAAGGATGCTTCTAGACACCATTCCAATTCTGGAGGTAGAACGAGAGTACCTGCTTGGGAAGGATGAGGCCTAGGTCTGGTTCCACTGTTCTAGAAATGACAGCCAGGCACCCACAGTCATTTCTAAGCAGTTGAGCCAGCAGCTCTTCAAGACTGTCATACCCAGGGCTCTTGTGACCATGCTGACTGAGTCATGTTCTGGCTTAGCCAGAGGCAGCTCTCCAGCCAGTGACCAGTAAGGAGGGCCAGGCTGAAGAACATTCCCCCAACCTGTAAGGTTCTCTCTGTCCGTTGGGCAGAGAATATGCGACATCTAGAAAAGGACCTCTAGGGTGGGGTGGCCAGGAGCTGGGAGACAGCAGCAAAGCAGTGGACAGGAGGCACGCGCTAGTTGAAACCATAAGGAATCCAAAGTCATGAGGTCGAGTGGAAAGAAGAGTTAGGATTGAGGGTAGCAGAAGTTAGGAAGCAGAAAGGATCAGAGATTTTAGTGGGGGGTGTTAGGAAGTAGGTGGAGTCAGAGGTTGATGGTGGCTGGAATGAAGAAGTAGACAGAATGAATGTGTCTGGAGCTGGGGACACATGGAATCAGGAGTGGATAGTAGCAGGAGGCAGGATCTAGACACAGTCAGGGCTGGACAACAGCTGAGAGATGGGCAGGAGGTAGAAACTTGGGAGTTGATCATTGCAGGAACTACAAGAATTTGGGTATACAATGGGTAGAGATAGAAAGCAGAAAGAGTGAGGAGTTGATACTGGCAAGATCCAGAATATAAAGAATAACTGGGACAGTTTATGTCCACCCCTTGCTCAAAACCCTAAAGCTTCACCATTTCGCTCAGAGAAAATGGCCAAAGGCTCTCATGCTGCTGACTGCCACCTCTGTCCTTATGTTCTCCTCTGTGCCCACTCTGCCATGCTGGCCTCCTTGCTGTTCTTCAGGCACACAGGGTCCTGCTTCAGGGCCTATCCTCTTGCTTTCCTCCTGGAATGTCTTCCCTGAAGATCTCAACCTGGCTTGATTCTCACCTCTTTCAAATGACAAGTTTTTGAGTAGTCTCCCCTGGCTGTCCTTTGTAAAATGGTGACTTCCTTTCTCCAGAACGCCTTCCCCCTCAACCTATTGGATATTTCTCCCCCTCAGTCAGCACCATTTGACCTGCTACACATTTTATTTACTTATGTGACCCTTGTCTCTGTGCCCTGAATCCATGATAGCAGAGATATTAATCTTATTCTCTGCTGTGTCCCTGATGCCTAATCCAGCCTGGCACATGGTAAGGGCTCATAAAGGAATTATTGAACAGATGAGTGCATACATAGACAAAGAAACCAAGTTACACCCTGGTTTCTAGTACTTTTTGCATGAAAACAGCATGCCTGTTTAATGCTTTGCCCCTTTATTGTTGTCTCACCTATGTGACTGTAATCTTTAAGGGCAGGGCTGTTTTGCTCACCATGGTCTCTTGGTACCTGGTAAGCAGGACATGTTTGGTTAATGTTTGCTGAATGAATAACAGGATGCTAGAGCAGGAAGTAGTGAACTGCAGTCTCTGTGGAAGGAGTCATAGGGTCTCCCTGTGTTAGAGTTATAGAGTATCTACAACCCTGTCACAGTTTTTCCCTAGAGCCTGACTGCAGCTGTGGTTCCTCTTTGGAGGATGTCTCAGATTTCTCAAAGCTTCATCAGGAGACTGCTGTTCAATTTCCTGTTCCTCCTAATTTTCCACATATTCTTATCCTAAACCCCCATTAATGGAGGTTACCTGGCTCACACCTTGCATCAATGTCAGAGAGTCTGACATACGGCAGTTTAGTTGTGTCCAGTTGAGTTCCAGTGACAAGTCAGATCTCTGGTTTTGGATCCAATGAATGGATTCTAGGTGGGCAGCCACCCCCCACCTAGAATCTCCACATTTGTTGTGGGTTGAATTAGGGCACTTTCAAGTTTGTACGTTGAAATCTTACCTCCTAGTACCTCAGAATAGGATCTAATTTGGAGACAGGCTTTTGATAGAAGTAATCAAGTGAAAATGGGGACATTAGGATAAGCCCTAATCCAATATGCCTGTGTCCTTATAAAAAGGGAATTCAGACACACACACACACACACACACAGTGCCATGTGAAGACTGGAGTTACACTGCCACAACCAGATAGAACCACTGGAGGCAAAGAGCAAAGGGAAAAAGGCCTGAGACATCTTCCCTCATAGCCCTCAGATGGCACCAAACCTGCGCAAACCTGGACTTTGAACTTCCAGGCCCTAGACCTGTGAGACAAGAGATGTGGTGCTTTACCAAGGCAGCTGTAATACGATTGCTCTTCCAGCTGCAGAGACTGATGCTCCACAAATCAGTCTGCATCTAAACAGACCTGTTGGGGTACACTGGATGGAGAGGGGAGGCGGCACCATGGTACTCACAAGACGCTGGGCCCTGTGGCCCCTTGGAAGGCACCATTGTGCATCTTCTGCAGGCGAACGTTTTCTTTGAGCTCCCTGTGGGGAAGGACAGCTTTAGTGGAATTTGCATCTTATGTGTTGACTTTCACAGCTGTGTACACACGTTTGGACTCTGCTGTGTGCGTGGTGTGCAGGAGGAGAATGGGAAAGGCGGGGTTGTACAGAAAATGGAAAAAAAACATGCTAGTCCTTGATGCAATTGTGAAATTGCTTGTGGGTAAGTTCGATCCCACCTTTTCCCTGCACTTTCCCCTTACTTTGCTTTGCAACTTAAAGAGCTCACCCTCCCCCTTGGAGGTATGAGAGTTGCTAGCAGGCAGCTGGGTGAGGAGAAAAATGCTGCTCCACAAGGAGCCAAGGCTGAAGGGTTCAAGAGCAGCTGCTCTGTATCAGATTCTCAGCTGCAGGGACCGCGGAGGTCTCAGAATTGGTCATCTGCAACATACTGAAGTTTGCAAATGCTTAGGGTGGGGCCCTTTGGAAGTCTTCCCTTTCATAATGTAATCTGTGCTCTAATTCTTTCTGATGTACCTTCTCAGGGGGTGAGCATGGGGGTGGGGGTATCCCAGCCTGGGCAGGAAATTGCCCCACATCCTGGGGTGTCCACAGCCTGTGCAGGATAGATACTCACTGTCAGGGGTGTATATGCGTGTTACAGAAACAGAAGTGCTGAAGACCACTGTGCTTAAGGCTCTGGACTAACCCAAAGCAGCACGGCAGTAGCTCGTGGGGGCTCTGTGGCCTTGAGCTCAAAGCAGTTCAGAATCTAGCACTCAGGAACAACTCAGTTGAGTCCTGCAGAGCTGCCTCCTGCTGGAGCTCTGGCATAGGTGTTTCCAAGCACAGGTCTCAACGGACCCAGAAGGGGAGTCCCTGGGCTCAGACCTGCCAGCCTTCTTTGGTGTACTTTTTTCCTATATGAGAAGGGTGGTGACTCAAAGAGCCTTCTGGAAAACCCTGGACAATGGGCACAGTGTTTATGCAGCCACTGTTTGAGTGATGATTTGTTATCAGGAGAACATGAATCTTCTACACCATCATTAAGGTGTTTAATGGTAAAACAAACACCAGCACTCAGTGTCTCCCCTGCAGGACAGCTGGGCAACTTCCTGTGCTCATCACCATCATCTTTCTGCCTGTCTCACACCTCGCCTGCCATTTAAAAGTCCCTGCATCTCTGGGTGAGATGCTTCTACTCAGCCTTTTCCTTGGAAACCCTCAACATTTCATCACACGTACCTGTCATCTCCCAGCCTCCATCTCCTGAGTGTGTTTCCCCTTTCAAAGAGATGAGGTTATCAGAGTCAACTGCTGTTTAAAATCTAAATCAAAAGAAATCTTCCTTCCTAAACCACCATTGCTTTTCTTCCTAATTCCCTTTGTCTTAATTCTGTTCTGTTATAGTTATAAGCTGTTGAAATTGGGCTTTGTGAACAAATAGTCTCCAGTCAGCCAGGTCAAATTAACTGTTCAAATTTCACGACAGAGTATCCGACATGATTTTCTACAATTACGATCCTTCTGTATACCGGTAACTCTGCATTATGTTAACTTTGTCGAAAATTAATCATTTACATTCAACCCATTTTCCTGGGGGTCACTTTTGAAAATTCTCTCAAGTGATGGGACCGTTCCAGGTGTGAGAAGCAGTGGGCAGAATGACACTTTGAGGCAGAGTGGGAGGAACTCGCAAATGTCACCAAAGCTTCCTAAACCTGGGTGCTCTGAGGACAGAAGGGACTGACTCCTGCCCTGCCCCCCCCACACGCCGCAGCTGTCCGAGGCAGCCTTCTGGGAGTAGCTCCTCTCTCTGCAGTTAGGGTGTTTGAGGCATTTCCCTGTCATTACTCTGAACAACTTGGGATGAGCTTACATATATGAAGAAGGTGTGAGGGACTGGGCTGAGTGGATAGTGCGGAAATTTTGCTCAATGGTTTAGAAAACTACTCCCTCCTCCTAGTTTAAACCCTTCAGTGGGTGTCTTTGCCCTTAGAGGATTTAGACTTCTTCCCCTCAGTCCTTCAGGACTTGCTTCATACTACATCTCTGGCTTGATCTGATGCCAGTCTGCCCCTTGCCAAAGACCTTCTAGCCCCGGGCTTCCTCTCAATTTCAGGGACTTACCAACTTCTTCCCCCTCCCCACTCAGGACCTTTGCATATGCTGTTCCCACTTCTGGTAATGTGCTTCCCCTCACTATTGCCATAGTGGACTGCTTGTCATCCTTTAGGCTCAGCTTAAATATCACATTCTCAATGAAGCATTCCTAAGCACCTCACCTAAGCTGGTCATCCTCCGCCCCATACTCTCAGATCTTAGTAATGGATATGTCCTTCACAGTATGTCTTAGTACTTTTATTAATTTTATTTGTCTGTTGACTTGCCTTTGTGTCCGTCTCTTCTGTCAGAGAAGAGACTTCATGAGAGCAAGGACTGTGTCCACTCTATAATTGCAGGCCCAGTGTCTAACACACTGCCTAATACATTGGTGTTGCTTAATAAATGTTGAATCAATGCATGGATGAAACTGACTTGTGTTCTTGGCAAAAAATGTGAGTTCTTGGTTTCCTCTTTCTTGCTGCAGTGAGGTTTGGGGAGATACAGAATTTTGACTACTTGGATTTTAGCTCCTCTGTATCAGTCAAGATCCCACTGACCACTAGGTCATCCCTCCTGTTCTGCTTTCCCTGACCTCCCAGGGATGTGCTCTGCTGCTTTTCCTCTCACCTGTTTGGTTTTGCTGGCTTCTCTACCTCCTTTCTTGTTTTCCCCCAATTTTATTTTTAGTCCTCTTGTTCTCCCTCTGGCCCCCTGTATCCAGGTGACCTCAGTCACAAAGAACTTCAGCTACCCTTTCTGTTTAGAAGACTTAAGCGTTTGGGTCTCTAGTCCTGTTCTGCCCCTCCCAGCTTTCTGTCCTTCGGGCTAATAGAGGAACTTTGTTTAACCATCTATCTCACTCTTCCCAACCCAGGACTTTCAACGGCTTCTCATTTCCTACAGAAGAGAGTCCAAATTCTTTCTCTGGCATCTAAGGCCCTTCCTGCTTTGACTCTAACTCACATCCAGAACTTTCTGACAAGCACTATTTGCTGGTCTATGGACACATCCCATGCTTCCTTCTCTGGGTCATTCTTGCTGTCTTCTGCCTAGAATGCATTTCCCCCCTGCTTTTGCCTGTCCAAATTAGTCCCAGCTCAAAAGCCACCTTTGTCATCAGGCTTTGTATAGCTTCCTTCCTCCAGCCTTGGAAATCTCAGAGGACTTTACCTTTCAGGGCAGGTTTGCCTTCTGATTTAGTTACTACTTAGTGTACTACTTAGGTACCATTTGGAGATGCCTTTTCCTAGGCAGCAAATTCCTGTGGAGTAAACCCCAGGCTTTATTCATCTTCATTTCCCCTGGAAATGAAGCATGGTCCTTCAAACACGGCTGTTGCTCAGTAAGTGCTTGTTGAGTGAATAATGGAGTGAGGCTTCTAAGAGGGGAGGCCATAAATGCCTCTGACTCAAACTTGGTGGAAACAGATTTAACTGATCAAAATGAACCTTTCTTTAATACAATGATTCTTGTTAATGAACCCTTCATTGAACTGTTAAGTTAACAAGAAAACAAGGTCAAATTCCTTCCATGATAGGAAGGACAACTTTAAAAAAAAAAAAAAATTAGCATTTCTTGAGCATTTAGAATTTTCCAGTCCCTGTGCTAAGCACATAAAAATATAATCTTTTTTATTCTTTTTTTTTGAGACAGGGTCTTGCTATTGTAGCCCAGGTTGGCTTCAAACTCATGATCCTCCTGCCTTGGCCTCCAGAGTGATGCATAAAAATATAATCTTATTTAATTCATTATTCACAGTTAATTAATTGTATGATATAATAAATAATTAATAAGTGGGTACTTACCATGTTCCAGGCACCATATTAAATTGAGGATACAAAATGAGACCATTTCATTTGGTTGGGGATATCCTCTATTGGCAGCTCTGTTTTACGAATGGGAAACTGTGGCTTAGACAGGTTAAGTAACTTACTTAAGGTCATAGGAATTAATAAGTAGTGGGGCTGGAGTTGGAGTCCCAGCCAGTGAACCTTAGGCCTGTTCTCTTAAACACCAAGCTGGATAGCATGGTATCAATAAAATAGGGCCCTTGGTTTAAAAATAATTAGCATATCATATGAACTTTTGCTACTTAGCTTGAGAGTGACAGAATCTCCTGAGAACCCTATGTAGGTCCACTGAGTCAAAGTGGACTGAGTCAAAGGGGTGGGTCCTGAGCATCTCTGTGTAAAAGTTTGGAAGCATTGGTGTAGATCATGGTTCATACAACTAACTTATTTTAAAGACTTTTGTGTTTGTTTCCCTTATTTGGCTTTAGTTGAGCTTTTCACAAATTCTTAGGTTTTGTTATGAACAACAGTAGGGTGATAGGCACCTCACCCTATACCTGTGATGGGTACATATCTCCATAAGCTTGTGCATGTGCCAGTCCTCTGGAAGAGAAGCCACAGAGAAAAGGAGAGGTTGAGAACAAGAAAGGAACAATCATTAGTGTGGCTTACCACTCCCCACTCAAGTTAAAGGCTGTGGGTCTTGTAGTTGGGGTGGGATGAACTCCCTCACACTGTGGGAAGGAGCTGCTCCCCACTAGTGGCAAAGGGGGGGCTCTCTGAGTAGGGGTGTGCTGGCTGATTAGGCTGCTAAATAGTGTCACTGTTTCTCTTCAGTGGGTCCTGGGGAAGAATTTCTTTCTGAAATATGCTACCTCTAACACACCATCAACCCGAGTGAGGGGCTAGAGAGGGGAGCTGTGAGATGGAGGAGGCACAAAGTAGGGTGTTGAATATTTCAGCGAACTGTCAACTTCAATGTATTGAGGCTGCATCTGTCTTTGAAATCAGGGTGCTCTGGGGTTTCCAGCCAGCCGGTTGCCTAGTAACATATGGGAAACACTGAGGACTAGCCACTTGAAAGTTTATTTTTGCCCTGAGTTAGTTGCTGAAGATTGAATGTGATCTGATAGCCAGAGTAATATTTCATTTTTATTCATGAGCTAGGGAAATAAGCACATACTTACAGTGAAATTAGCGTCGTCCCATTGAACGCATGACTTTGTACTTCTTCAAATCCATTTCCATATAGTTTGCTGTAGGAGGGAGGAGAGATGGCTTAGGAATGGCAAGGAACTGAGAGAAACGCAGTTTGGAAGCACACATTCTTCCTCCTGTGACATTTATTACTAAGATAATCACTAGCATTCACAATCTCTAGCTGTTTCTCCAACATTTCAGACTCTAAGGGCCTGCAGGGACAAAGCTGTTCTTTCGGCTCTGGTTTACTTCTCCCTCCACCGTCACCACCACCACCCATTTATTAAGTGTTCATTAAGAAGAGCGCCAGCTATCTTCTGCCTATGATTTAATTCTCATCACCATTTCCATCATACTGATGAGAAAGGCCTTGGTGTTGTCATGCAGCTTGAGTCCCAGGAAGCAGTGGCAGAGCTGGGGTGTAAGGCTGAGCTGTGTAACTTAGCTTCTCGGGCTCTGTGGCCCTCTGAGGGCCTATGGGCTTTCTGGGCTTTGAAAACTGAGGGCAGAGCAAGGCTCCAGTCCTGAGTCACCTGTTCTTTTTCTTGGATGAGAATGTGGTTTTGCTAATGCTAAGGTTGGTTCTATAGCCAAGAAGATGTAAATGTCTATGAACAGACATTTTTTAAGACCCATTAATAGATAGTGAAATCAATTTAGTTGAGTGCAATCAGCATTTTAAAAAGTGAGTAGAGTAGAATAGAACAAATGGAAAGCATTATACTGTAAGTAGTTAGTTTGAATGCTTAGACAATTTTGTTCCACCATTTCCTCTCTCTCCCACACTGAGACCTAAGAGGCTCCTTAGAACACAGGTGCTGGAAAGTGCCAGAGCCAGCAGCACCCCTTTGTTTTACAAAGAAGGAAATAGGCTCAGAGAGGAGAAGTGATTTGTCTAAAGCTGGCAGAATTGGGACCAGAACATACATCGTCTGGGCTACTTCCAGTGCATTCAGTTTGTAAGTTTTTGCCCACTTTTCCCCCAACCCAACCAAATATCCTCAAGACCGACCCAACCCTCCTCCTTCAGAGCTGGGTTCAACATCATTTTCTCAATGTGGTCTTCCTTGGCTGCCCTATGTAAACTACTAACCTCCTACCCTGCATTCCCTATCCCCATTCCCTAATTTGTTTAATCACCATCTGACCTGTGGTGATATGCTACTTGTTTATTGTCTACCTCCTCCAGAGCATAAGCTTCATGAGAGCAAGGATTTCAAGCTTTTGTTCATTGAACAATCTCCCACATCTAACAGTGCTTCGGACCAGGGAGCATTACAGTAAATATATGTTAAATGGATTGGATGAACGAATGAGTCTATATTAGAAGAATGTCTTACTATAAGTCACAGCCAAACAAGTTAGAAAGCCACTGTCCTGCAGGTAAATATCTATAATTCTTTGTGAAAAATAATGGAAGAACCAACTAAGAAAGGGCTGAGGTGAGTCATGTGATTGAGCTCTGTGTTTGGCAAGATGCTAGCTTCCTTTCCAGGGTTGTTGGCAGCTGCCTGACCATGTTAAGGACAGATTTGGGGGAATAACTTGAGAAAATGGCCAGATACATGCTCTGTTCCACCTGCTCCTACCTTAGCTGCTATTGCCCATGAGGCTCCTCTAGCCTTTGTTAAATAAAACAAACATGGATTTTTACCTCACATTATATGTGAATGAGTACAGTGTGTATGTGTAATACATATGTGTATATGTAGTGTGCAAGTGTGCTCTCTTTCCATCAACCCACAGCATACCTGAGACAAAGCAGCAAATAGATACAGGTGGCGCTCATGTTGAAGTATGATATTTGAACTATGAAATTCAGTAAATATAAATTAGAGATTACAAAATAATTCTCAGAGACTCTTCATTAGATTGAGTTAAAAAAAATCAGGGGATTGTATGTATTTCTTAAAATCCCTGTTATATATTTTATGATGTACAAAAAGAAATGATGAAAAGA